TTAGCGGAATAAAATTTAAATAATAAAATAATATTACAAAAGGTAAATCCATTATTATCATTGGATTGCAAGCCACTTTTATGACTGCTAATATTACAAGCTCGCAGAGTGATCTGAACAAAACTCTAAATTATATTGAAGAACTAATGCTTTCTCCAGTTTTATATAGTTTTCCTCTGCCCGCCGAAAAATTTCCAGTACCTTCGATTTCTTGAAATTGCTGGAAGGTTTAGACAGTTAAGAGTTCAGTTACAGTTACACAAAAATCGGACCAAAATGTCGCTAAGCTTGACGACAATATCCCACCTTCGCGCTATTTCGCCAGTTTGGAAAGACAGCCGAACGACGATGTTTCGCCCTCTGAGGCCTTTCATGCTACATTTTACAGGAAGTACTACAATTTACGCATAGGTTCATTAAAATTATTTACCATATGTACAAAATTCATAGGATTTCCCCTTCCGAAAGACTGCATATCCCGGGCAGTGAGACTCCCGGACAAGTAGCCATAATTACAACTAAGGAAAATCAATAACTGAACACCAACGCGATACTAAAATAATAATTTCAGTAAATAACGTACAACAAATCAAACACCAAGTCAATAAATAAATGCACACATTTACAAATTCATATACCCGAAGGACCATGATCTATTTACATTATATACGCTATGGCCATAGAAAGGGACAAGCCTCTCGTAATGAACGATTTATACTTAGAATCTGATGACATATGGATCCGAACTACGTCGCCGTTCAGCTTGGTTCTTTCCAAACATCGGCACAGAAAGAAATTAGAAGCTCCAAGCCCTTCCTAACTTATTATCCTCACCGGTCATGTCCCATATCCAGATTATTTTCTGAAAAGGAACCTCTCCAATAGCGAAAATGGCGTGTGTGGAGTCAAAGGAGATGCAGACCATTATCTATGCTTCTGCCGTCTCACACATTCGGAAACCCACCAATCTAGATTCTAACTTTAAGGGGGCTCATACACCTTAAACCCCTCATGATCTTGGAATATGTGATTGCTGCAAGAATTGGAATATTTGATTTATTTTAAAAACAATTACTTCCAACTTTTTACAGCTGACTACGTAATATAACTGCTTTGGGAGCTATAACCAGAAAGTTTGTGTTGCCACAAATATTTTCGTAATTTAATCCGCTTTGTGACAAAAGTTTTCGCCATGTTTTCACCTCGTGCGCATGATATTTTAAAAATGGCTAATGGTACATACTTGAAATTGGATGGAATTCTTTATATGGACACTATTTTCTAACGGAACCAAAAATCTGATGAATATTTTAATATTAAAAAATTTTATGGACGAAAACATTACAATTTTTTTAATAAAATACATTTTATAAACTCAACTCCAAATAAAATAAAATAAAAATTTAATATGATATTCTTAGAATTTTTGGTTCATAGTAATTTCCAAATGTTATAAAAGCTATATATTAAATATGGAATTAAAATATGCAACAGAATGTTTTAAACTGTGCGCGCAAGGTGGAAACATGACGAAAAATTGTGTCACAAAGCGTATTAAATTATAAAAATATTTGTGGCAACACAAACTTTCTCATTACTATTTCAGAGAGCAGCTATATTATGTAGTCAGCTGTACAAAGTTGGAAGTAATTGCTTTTAAAATAAATAAGTTATCCCAATTCTTGCAACAGTTAGATAATCGAAGATCTTGTGGGTTTTAAGGTGTAAGAGTCCCCTTAAAAGACTGGAAATTTTTCTCTTTTTACATCCCTATGGGACCAGGTACTGCGTTTGACGGTGAAATTTCTGCGATTCGCACAGCTCTGTACCAGCTACCATGCCACTTGGAAAAATTCACAAGAGTTGTTATACTCAGTGATTCCCGAGCTGCTCTGTTGGTTATCGTTTCAGATGAAAATCCTATATCACAGGATATATTGGATTGTCGACATTATCTACAAGCCCTGCTTCGCTTGAGAAAATTATAGTCCTGCAGTGGGTTCCTACCCACTGTGGGATTCCAGGTAACAAGAAAGCCGACTTCTCGGCAAAAAAGGGTGCTTTAATCATGCAGAATATTTCTCGTCCTTTGCCTTTCCATGCTATTAGGGACCTTATTAAAAGATCTATCAAAGTACGTGCTCAGGAAGATCTCTATAATCGTGTTTCTCATAAGTCTTGGAAGAATGTTATCCCGAATTTGTGTAATGGCCCAAGGCGTAGAGCCGTCGCTTGAATTCCGCCTTGCCACCGGACATGACTGCGTTTCAAAATTGTTCCTTCTCCGATATGCACTCTGTGCAGCTTTGGAGAGATGATGGATGCCGCACATCTATCTCATTGTCCTACTCTGCGCAAGACTTTTTTCGCCGAGCGTTACTGGGAGGCAAGAGATATGTTAGATTAATGGACTCTGTTACAGCTGTTTTTTTTTCCATTGTGCTGCTGTATTGTATGTTCTTGTTTTTTTTTTCCTGTTACTGTTCATAATCTGCCATTGGAAAAAAAAAAGTTTAGAAGACTGGTGATAGCTCAACACAACCTATATCCAAAAATCATGAAGGTACGCAAAAAAGCTCGGTGCTTTAGGACTGGACCTATGCCGAGTCACAAGTTAAGTCCGAAAACGATAAAGCCGAAACGAAAGAGCAATGTCTAAGTCACTCACGAATAATTGACTCCGCGATACATTAATAATTTCCATATTGCTCCAAAATACCTAACTTACTGAGCTGAGACCATGAGCTTTATTTATAAACTTTGAAAGATTTGAGCTCAGATCTAATTACTTACCTGTAACAAATGTCACATAACAAGAATCAGACTCCCAATATATTAGCAAAATCAAATCGCGTTTGTTTGTATACTTCCATAAAAATGTAAAATTTCCAGTACAACGATCTTCAAAATATCAGCTCTACTATATTTACGTAATCAAATAGTTTAATGAGTATTCTAAACAGTTTGTGTAACTTTGTATGTAATTTTATGTTATTATCTTCTTATGTTTAAATTAACAATTCCGATGTATAACTTCAGTATTACTTAGAAATAGCATATACTTAGTTCACGTATTTCATACTCTAGCTGGTTAGTGTATTGGGGCAATACCTGTTTGATTCGGTAGTGAAGTTGTTGGTGCTCCCATGCACTTTTACTTGTTTACCTGTTCAGGATTGTGTAAGGATCGTCCGAGGGTGACTGTAGTTTAGGAGAAACTCCTTTCCTTCGAATTGGATTCCATAACCACACTTTGTCATTTTTGTTAAATTGATGTCCTGTAGCTCTCGTGTCGAACTGGGCCTTCATCTTCTCCGTCACTTGCTGTCGAGCAAAATTGAGCATCATTTGAAACCGTGTCTGGAGAATGGCACCTCAGGCGATCCGAAGGGCAATCAAACAATAAATCACAAAGCTGACGAAGGTGACGACCGAAGAGCGTCTGAGATCGGGATAGCACTACGGTGGGCCAGTATAAGCAGAGTTAACGTGTGGTCCCAGTACTGTTGATTTCTGGAAACAATTAGCGAGTGGTTGCTAAAGGTAGTTCGGTCAAACCTCTCTACCATGGCTGTGGGTGTAAAGGAGTCGTTTGGGTTTTGTCTATGCGGAGTAAAGGTCTTTTATTACAGTTGAGATAAAATTTCTTCCTTCAGAGTTCGTACATCAAGGAGCAAAAACGGAATTGGTCGCTCGTTCCCTTGTAATCTGGATAATTCATTGGTTGGATAAGACTTGTTATGGTGGACGGCAGAAACGCAACACAGACGTTTTCCATGTTTCTTAGCCCATTCTTTTATATATTAGTAGCCAGCTTATTTTCTTCTTATCCCATTTCATATTTTTTTATCTCACAGGCCTAAATTTCGGATTTAAATTTAGATCTTCGAAAGTACCTTTATTTTGATATTGGCAGTTATGAGGGATTTTATAGTACTTGATTTAAATCACCATGTTTGCCAATTGATCAATCTCAAAACATTAAATTTTTAGTCGTATTTATAGGAACCGACAGAGAAATCTTTTATTTAATATGTGGTATGGTGACTTCGGACAGAATATGGGATCTTCACACAGTTTAGTGAATTGCTTTGGAATTCCACGCCAGTCTTCAGAATGTGCACTATTTAGATCCTGACAGACATCGGGCTCGGTGCAGTTTTGTTATCCAATGCATGCTTAGTAGGACTGAAGTGTGTTGAATAGACTGTTCAGTCCACTGGAGAGAGATATCTTCTGTTTCCGAAAATTCTGAGAACAGCGTTATTAGTCATTACCAAAACTCTGGGCCAATAGCATCCCTAAAAAGCCTTACATATGATTCCAAGACGTCGTTCATATATTTGATGTATGAAAGAAATATGTTTGATGATTCCACTGCAAACCATACAACGGCTTCCCTGGATTTGTATGAACAAGGTAAGGCAAGTTGCGTGTTCCTGGTTCTTTCCAGTTGCCTAGAGCTGCAATTCAGGTTTTTACCTGGAGTCGTTAATAAACAGTGCAAGCTCCCATTCCTCTTGACTGTACTGAGTATGATGAGGGTACCATGTTAAAGGGGTAGCTATAGAAGATGGAGGGAGTGAGACGCAAACTATCGGTTTTTCAAGCATAACGTCAAACTTCATGCAGCGATAGAACAGTTGATTGGAATTTTCGGTGTCACCAAATCTTTTTCAATCGCTTCGTGTTAACACCATACATCTTTGATGACGCTGTCTATTAATTGAATGATTGCGGTTTGAAGTTACTGAAATGCCACCTCTATGTGCGTACGAATGAAGTGCGAGTTTTGTCTTTTATTTGACAGCTTAGGATAAATAATAATCCTCAAAATCTAAATTAAACATGGTTATACATTCAGATTTCAGTATTAGTGCTTTGCGGAACATGTTAGCTGCGTACTTTTGAGCGTTAAAGTACGGAGGGGAAGAAGGTCCGGTTTTCACAATCTAGATATTCGTTTATAACTTTAACCACTAATAACATTTTTTTTTCAGATTGCTGAAGAGTGGAAGGAAAAAAAGGACTTACTTTATATGCAGAGCTCTTGAAGCGGGAACCTCGTTAGGGTAGGGTAGATTTCACCTGTATAGAAGAGGACATGTTCGTTCTTTTATAGGACGGGAACTAGAAAAAAAAAAAAAAGAAGAATTAGTACATGTGACTTAAGGGAAAGTACGAAAGATAAGGACAGTGAAGCGGTTTAAGCTGAAGTATGTAAGAGAATCAATTTCTTCCGGGGCCCCAGAGACAGGTTGGCAAGACACTTCGCTTCTACAGAAAGGTCTCAAGTTCTGACTTCGGTAAGTAAGAGATGTTGTATTATAACTGTTAGATGTAAAATAATGATAAATATAATAAATGCATGAGGGCGGGGGCTGTAATAACGAAATTTTGTTGTAAGTTACAGGTTCGAACGAAAGAGGAAAGGGGAACCCCTAAAGAGAAGAAAGGAAAAAGAAGAAAACATCCGGGTGGCACACGAAATAGCCCCGAAAAAGAGAGAAGGAGATTAATTTAAGAGGAAAGTGGTGCCACCCGGGAAGGGGCTTTTGCAAAATTTTTCCATCTCCACAGATAGGGCTCGTAAGCTTTAGACTTTATTTTGAAGTTTATTTCTAATACAAATGTTGTAGTAACCTGGTTTGTACAAGTAAAAATAAATTTGTTTTTCGGTTTTATGAGTCTTTATTGTTTATGTTTAAATATTCATCAAGATATTTTTTCCCGTCTAAAAATCAGTTCATTAAGATAATTTTTGGTATTAAAATGAGTTCATCTCGCCGTTTAAAAGTCAGTTCATCAATATATTTTTTTGCCGTTTAAAAATCAGTTCATCACAGGGTTTAAAAGTCAGTTCATCAGTTAAAGTTCATTCATTTTTTGGCGTTTAAAAATCAGGCCGTTTAAAAATCAGTTCATCTCGGCGTTTAAAAGTCAGTTCATCAAGATATTTTTTTGCCGTTTAAAAATCAGTTCATCTCGGCGTTTAAAAGTCAGTTCATCAAGATATTTTTTTGCCGTTTTTTTTTTTTTTTTTGGCGTTTAAAAATCAGTTCATCTCGGCGTTTAAAAGTCAGTTCATCAAGATATTTTTTAGCCGTTTAAAAATCAGTTCATCAAGATATTTTTT